AGACCTTTTCATAATTAACACTTGGTTTCTTGAATTATTTTTAGATAGGAATAATTGAATTCTCCCATTCTGTTCAGAAATCTGCCTGTTTGTTACTTACATTATCTGTCTAAATCATATATATACTGTGTACTGTATAATTGCATGTTTGCATACTTACCTGACACCATGTCAAGTGCATATAAGCTAGAAATAGAGACATGGAATGGTACTGGGGATTTTAATCTCTAGCGCCAGAAAATGAGAGCATTGCTACTACAGCAAAGATGTGCTGCAGCCCTTGATGGGACATGGGCTGCTAAAATTAGTGCCTATAGTAGGAGAGAATTAGATGACACCGCATCGAGTTCTATTTTTCTTCATCTGTCTGATAGTGTGATTAGGAAAGTGCGAGAAACCACTTCTACTGAGGCCTTGTGGACAAAATTAGAATCACTCTACTTGACTAAATCCATGCCAAATAAATGTTATCTCTTAAGGCTAATTTTACAATTTCAGATTTGATCCATCATCTGGTTTAGAAGAAAATCTTGACAAATTCATTAAAATGATTCAGGACTTAGACAATCGTGATGAGGAAATTTCTAATGACCAACAGGTTGTTGCTCTATTAAACTCTCCAAGTTAAAGATATAGATACATTAGAAATGCCTTAGAATATGGGGGGCAAGAACTTACTGTGGATATAGTAACATCAGCCTTAAGAAATAAGGAGCTTGAATTAAAAGTTGAGTCAAAAGACTCTAAGTCTGGTGAAGGGGTTCATATAAAAGAAAAGCTAAATCACAATAAGAAACATAACCAATACTATACCAATCCTCACAAGAAAGGAAGATTCCCTACTTATAAGCTCAAAGATAAGAACAAGAATCATGTGAAACCAAAGAATCAGACCAAAAAATGCTACTACTGGGCAAAACAAGACACTTAATAAAAGACTGTTTTAAGAAAATCTCAAACATGAAAGATAGAAATAATTTTGATGGTTCTGCAACAGTTGCCTACAAAAATGAACCTGATATCCAGGGGGTGGTTCTTGTTAATACCACCAAAAGAAATTCAAGAGAGTAGGTCCTTGACTCTAGATGCACCTTTCACATGTGTCCTTTAAAGGAATGGTTTTTTAAGTTTGTTGACCTCAATGGAGGGTAAATTCAGATGGGGAATGACATGAGTTGTCAAATAGAAGGTATTGGTAAAGTTAGGTTGTTGTTAGATAACAACTATACTCTTAAACTAGAAAATACAAGATATGTTTCTGAACTCAAAAGAAATTTTATTTCTTTGGGAGAATTAGATGAGAAATACAATATCTATATTCACAAAGGTCTTATAAGCTTAACTTTAGGGGAAAAGAGAGTCATCTCCTCTTCAAAAATAAATGAAATTTACACTGTCGATGCTGAGCCTGTTTTAAGTCAGTGTACCACTGTCTCAAACTATGAGTTTAACAAATCCTTACTTTGGCATAAAAGAATGGGACACATTTCAGAATAGGGATTAATCATTTTAAATAAACTTAAATGTTTTGGAAAGGATAATATTGAAAAATTGGACTTTTGTGAAAATTGTTTAATTGGAAAACAGATTAGACTACCCTTTAAAACTGGAACCCATAAATCCACTTCTATACTGGACTACTTACATGCTGACCTTTTGGGTCCAGCATCAGTAAACACCCTAAGTGGATTTAGGTTCTATTTTCTTATAATAGATGATTTTTCAAGAAAAATATAGATATTTGTTTTAATACAAAAGTCTAAAACTTTTAAAAAGTTTAAGCAATGGAAATCTATGATTGAAAATCAAACAAACAAGAAAATCAAAGCATTAAGAACTAACAATGGTCTTGAATTCTGCAATTTTGAATTTAACTCATTTTGTAAAGAGGTTGTAATTCTAAGACATAAAACTATAACATACACCCCTCAGCAAAATGGAGTTGTTGAGAGAATGAATAAAACCCTATTGGAAAAGGTTAGGTATATGTTGTATAGTTCTGGACTTTCAAAAGTTTTTTGGGATGAAGCTCTAAACACAGCCACCTATTTAATTAATAGAAGTCCATCTAGTGCTATTGATTTTCAAGTCCTTAAAATGTTATGGTCTGGAAAAATACCCGACTATAGCAAACTCATAGTTTTTGGCTGTGCTGCTTATTCCCATCAAAGTGAAAGCAAACTTGAGCCTAGATCCCAAAAATGTATTTTCTTGGGTTATGGAGAGGAAACCAAAGGCTATAGACTCTGGGTTAAAGACCAAAAAGGTTTTAAAGTAATAATAAGTAGAGATGTCATCTTTAATGAGAACGACATGCCTTGTATAAAATCTAAAGATTCTAAAATTCCTGAATCTGCACTAGAGAATAAGACCATCATGGAAGTTCAACCTGAAAATGCTATAAATCAAGATGATTCTTTTGAGGTGGAGCACTCCTAATCTGAAATAAATAATGGGGAAGATGATTTTGAAAATGAATCGGAATTTTCAATAAATAATCTTGCTGATTATCAGCTAGCTAGAGATAGGGAAAGAAGAACCATAATTTCCTCCACCAGATTCAATAATGAAGAGTTTGTCACTCTTTTTTCTGCACTTGACTCCTTAAATTCTTAACCTACATCTTTTGATGAAGCCATTAATTCTCCTGATTCTAAACTTTAGAAGGGAGCTATGGATTAGGAAATGGATTCCCTTATTAAAAAATAAAACCTGGATTTTGGTTAATAGACCTAAGAATCAAAAGATTGTAGATTGTAAGTGGATTTTTAAAATTAAAGAAGGAGATTTAAATTCAGAAAATAAGAGATATAAAGTCAGATTAGTGGCTAAAGGTTTCACTCAAAAAGAAGGAGTAGACTATAATGAAATATTCTCTCCAATGGCCAAATACACTTCAATTAGAATTTTACTGGCTTTATCTGATCATTTTAACTGGGAATTAGATCAACTTGATGTTAAAATAGCATTTCTAAGTGATGATCTTGATGAGACAATATACATGACTCAACCCAAAGGATTTGAAATTAAATCAAAATCAGATAAGGTTTGCTTGCTGAAAAAACTCTTTATGGGCTTAAACAAGCTCCCAGGCAATGGTATTTGAAATTTAATTCGTTTGTGCAGACTTTAGGTTTTGTAAAAAGCTGTTATGACTCTTGTCTCTTCTATAAAGGTTCAGGTGGAGTTGAATCTGTTTATTTGTTACTATATGTTGATGATATGTTGTTTGCTTATCATGATAGAAGTGAAATAGACTTCATTAAATCAAAGTTAAAATCTGATTTTGAAATGAAGGATTTAGGACAGGCTAAAAGGATTCTTGGAATGGAAATAAATAGAGATAGAGATAATTACATATTAGTGCTAAAGTAAGAATCCGAAGAAAATTCTTGAAAAATTTTCTATGCTCGATTGTAAGCCTGTTACTCTTCCTATTGCTAATCACTTTAAACCGTCTACTGAACAATCACCTAAAACTGATGATGAATTAAAGAGAATGGAGAAAGTACCTAATGCTAACACTGTAGGCTCTATCAGGTATCTCATGGTCTGTACAAGACCTGATCTAGCACATGGAGTTAGTGTTTTAAGTAGGTTCATGGCCAACCCAAGTGAAACTTACTGGCTTGCAATAAAATGGATGCTAAGATACTTAAAAGGGTCATCTGAATTATTAGGTCTAATGTATAGAAGAAGCAATGAAGAGATAACTTTGAAGGGTTACACAGACTCGAAATTTTTCTAGTGACTTAGATAGGAGAAGATCCACATCTTCCTATATTTTTACTTTGTGTAATGGATGTATAAGTTGAAAGTCACAGCTACAAAAATTAATTGCCTTATCATCTACAGAAGCTGAATATATTGCAGCTTGTGATGTTGTTAAAGAAAGCATCTGGTTAAGAGGTTTACTAAATGAAATTGGTTTTGCAAATAATTCTGTTAACATTTGTACAGATAATCAAAGTGCAATACATCTTGGTAGGACCCTGTATATCATGATAGAATCAAACATGTAGACATAAAATTTCACTTTGTGCGAAATATGGTTGAAAAATGTTTGATCAAGTTGATTAAAATTCCTACAAAGCTCAATCCCTTTGATTTGGGAACTAAGGTACTGCCTCTAAACAGATTTAAATTTTGCTTGAAGATTCTAAATATCACATAAAAGGATGGTAAATTTAGAACTTCAAGTGTTGTTTATGATAAGGTTAACTGATTTAAATTTTTGTTTTTACAGGAACTTAGAGCAAGTGAAGTTAACTGATTTAGTAACAGGATCCATTAGTAAAGACCAAGATTCAACTCAGCAAGGTGGAGATTGTTAAGAATTTTGGGCTGCCTCGTTAAATCTTGGGTTATTGGGCCGCATCTTTATTGAGGCTGAATCACATACAACCGGGTTGCTGACCTTTTAACAAAAATGTTTTTTGGAAACACGACTTTAGCCTCTTTGAGGGGATGTGAATCTGCCGTCCACGTGGCTTCATTCCAGCCCTTCGATTGTGACTGTTGAATTGATCAGATATATACTTGACCTTGGTACTATTCACACACTCTGGATCCTTCTTTCAGTCTCTTCGTCTCTCTCTGTTTTCTGAGTGAAAATTAGGATTTTGATCTCTGTAAAATTGAAATCGATCTTGTGATTGAAATGGTTGTTCTTAGTGATAGAATCTGATTGTTTAGTACAATCATTAGATAATGATTCTGTGAGGTTTTCTCTGATTGAGAAGAGGCGAGAGAAATTTTGTACTGATTCTTGGTTGATATTAGTGAATCTTGAGCTAAATCCCTTAGTAGATGCTCAACGGGTTATTAGGTCTCACGACTGAACATCCAGGCCCTTTCAAGGGCGAAAAATCTCTGGTGTTCTTTCCTTTTAATTTTCTACAATTTTTCATTTACTTTTACAAATCAATCCTCAAACTTGAAGGTTAAATATAACAATTAAAATAGGTTGTTTGAAGTGTTTGAAATTGGGAGAAGATGTCATGCGGAAGATTGACAAGCAGTTGTGGGTTGGAGGTAAAGATAAGGGTGGAGGTGGCTATGGATATAAGGTGGTGGTGTTGAGGGTTTGTGGATGGTGGGGACAATTTGGGTGGTGCCGACAATGATAGAGTGGGATGGGTTGGGGATGGGGTTGGAGTGAGTTGAAAAGTATTTGTGATCAATTAACTAGATAATTTGTGACATAATAAAATGTTTAATTTACAAATAAATATATAGTTGAAAAGTGTTTGTGCTCAATGAATATGAACAATTAACATAACAATTATATCGAAACACTTTATCATAATGAAAAGAAAATATTAACTCCTATCAATGTAAATAGCATCGCAACCATGGATTTTGTACAAGATACAGTTTAAAATCTTGTAAAGAATGTACAATTATTTGTGCAACTCATCCATTGCAATGTGTTTACAGACAAATAGTATTTCACTAGGGTCAGAATATAATGCTAACAAACATATATAACGATTACTGTCAATATAATATATATCATCCAATGTTAAAGAAATATTACCTCTGTAGTATAGGAAGAATAACTTTAGTTCTTCTTTGATGACACAACTAGCCTTTTATTTAAAAATTTGATCCAATACAAAAGGCCCATAGAAGCAAGCCAAGAAAGCGAAGGTGGATAAAGAGCTCAAGAGAAAATGCTTCCTCTATGAATATAAGGGTCATTGGAAGAGGAACTCTCGAAATATCTAGCTTCCAAAAAGCAAGGTAATGGAAATATTTTCAATTCTAGATAGTAGATTATGAAGTCACTAATCAAATTTGAAGTTCATTAGTAATTGATGAGTGATTTACACTCATTATATTATGACATTAATTTCATGATTTTGCTATCTTGGAGAGTATTTTAGAAGTGCTAACAAGTGATTTTGGTGTTGTTTTGTAGATTGATGGAAATGGAGAAAACAAGAGCTAAAAGAGGCCAAAAGAAGGAAATAGGTAAAAGTTAGGGAAATTGGATGAAATGACCAAAATGTAAGAGATCCAAAGTTCGAGGATTAAAATGCAATTAATCAAAAGTCGTGTCGAAACTCACAATGATGATCCGAGAGCGCTAGGAGGCAATTGGATGAAGGAAGGTGTCAAAGGGATCAAATTTAGTCAAAATATGATCACAAATCATTTTCCAACCGAAAAGTTACACGTCGGAGTTTTGGTCTCACATTGAGACCTATTTCTGACATAGCAAACAATAGAATTGGGAAATGATGTTTGAAAAAAAGTTATAGCCCTTTGAGTTACCTTTCCAACGCATCTTGAATCATCTCAATCGGATATCGGATGAAGAAGTTATGGTAAAAATACTGAAGGAGGCGAAAACTGCATTTTCCATCCGAAGTGGGCGCCGTGGCGCCCAAGATGCTGAAAACAACAGTGAACGTGGCACCGCCTATGAGGAAAAATGGGATTTTATATTTTTGGAATCTTTTCTTGGCCCAACTCAATCCTAATTTGTCCAATAACTTCAAGATACTATAAATACCATTTAAAAAGACCTATTTTTGAGAAGGATGGGGAGGCAAGATTGAAGGATTCAACTACATAATTTGAAGGAGGCAAAAATTGAAGACATCAAAAGGAAGGAGGAACAACATCAAAGAAGAAGATTGAAGATCTACCCAAAAAACTAGTTTTTTCTATCCTTTTCCTTATATTGTTTATTATAATTTGTATGATTTTCATTTATTATATCATGAACTAAACAAATTATCTAGGGGTTTGATGTAGCCGAATCGAGTATGGTTTGATGATTTTATAATTATTTCTTTGATTTTTTCACATATATTTAATTGTGTCATGATTTTAATGCTTTCAATTACTTGATCAATAATTGCATTAATAGATGTTAGTCAATTTCGGCACTCGAGAGTGGGGAATTTAGGCGTGATCATAAGATTGACACAACATATGTTTTATGGGTTTTGAAAGAAAGTGTAAAATCTGTGAAGCTTACTCCATAAAAGAATCGAGACTTTTATAAATTCTTCATTTTCAATTCGGAATAGAGATATTGGAATTGGAATCTAGGATTATTTTCTAACCGGCACTCGAGAGAGGGGAGAGGAATATATTAGGATTCTTGATTTTAAATATGGGAAAATTAAATGGAATTATTGAAAATCGTTAAATCATAATTGAAAGTTAGATGAAGTCAATCCCTAGGCCTTCTCATTTGATAATTTGTATTCCCCAATTTTGTCGCATCCAATTTACGTTAGATTAGTTTAATTTATTCACTCATAAAACATTAAATCCATTTAATCATACATTTGTCTAGATAAAGTAGAAATTGCACAATTATAGTACTTAGTGAAATTTAAATTATAATACATGTGGGTTCGACACTCTTTACTCTATTATTATATTACAAAACTTGACATCGTACACTTGCGGTATAAAATCACGTTGCATAAATCGCGTGGCTGTAATCGAGAAGCTCAATGAAGGAGAGTTCACTCTCAAAGTTTGCACACGAGAGTTGTTGTTTGCTAGTGCCACTGTTGACCGGGAAAACTTTTGAAAATTTGTTATTTTGTTCTAGACATTAAATGGAATTTAATTTCCGTAGCTCATTTAGTTGAGCAGGGATGTTTTGTAGTTTTTGCGTTGTTTCAACTGGATATATAGTAAATTAATTCTCTTATTTATTATGGACATTAGTTTAATAGTTTGTATAATTTGATTCGGCTCTATGAATAACATTAATGGGTCTAATAAATATATAAGGTTGTCTTACGCTAATGAGACTTATTTTTGACAGATTAGACTTTTTCACATTAACCTTAATAGAATTCAAAAACTAAAAATTGATGGTTCTTTCAGGCAATTACAGGTTGAATCTTTTATGTTATGTGAATCTTGTTTGGAGGGTAAGATGATCAATAGACCATTTACTTCAAGGGGATAGGGCCAACGATGTCATGAAATTAGTGAATTCTATTTTATGTGGACCAATTATTGTCGAGCTAAAAGTGGGTCCAAGTATTCCATCACTTTCACGTTTGATTACTCAAGATAGAATTATGTGTACCTGATGGCTTGCAAGTTTAAAGTTCTTGAAAAATTCGATGAATTCAGAATTAAAAAATAAATAAATAAATAGAGAAAGGCAATTATTCTAAGAACATAGACATTTTGATCAAATCAAGGTAAATAATTTCTATTTACAACTTTAGAATATACTTATGAAAATTAGATCTTATCCCAAGTGAGTGCACCAAGTACACCAACATAATAGTGTTTTCTTTTTGGGGATATCCTCTAAATATGCCCACAAGATACTCGTAAAGTTATTAAATGGCGTAAGCCCAAATTAAGGATATGAACTCAAGATATAATTATGTGTACCTGATGGCTTGCAAGTTTAAAGTCCTTGAAAAATTCGATGAATTCAGAATTTTTTTTTTTTTTTTTTTTTTAAAAAAAGGCAATTATTTTGATCAAATCAAGGTAAAGAATTTCTATTTACAACTTTAGAATATACTTATGACAATGAGATTTTATCCCAACTAAGGGCACCAAGTACACCAACATAATAATGTTTTCTTTTTGGGGATATCCTCTAAATATGCCCACAAGATACTCGTAAATTTATTAAATGGCGTAAGCCCAAATTAAGGATATGAACTCAAGATATAATTATTTGTACCTGATGGCTTGCAAGTTTAAAGTCCTTGAAAAATTCGATGAATTCAGAATTAAAATAATAATAATAATAATAATAATAATAATAATAATAATAATAATAATAATAATAATAATAATAATAATAATAATAAAAAGAAGGCAATTATTCTAAGAACATAGACATTTTGATCAAATCAGGGTAAAGAATTTCTATTTACAACTTTAGATTATACTTATGAAAATGAGAGTTTATCCCACTAAGTTCACCAACATAATAATGTCTTCCTTTTGGGGATATCCTCTAAATATGCCCACAAGATACTCTTAAAGTTATTAAATAGCGTAAGCCCAAATTAAGGATATGAAATATTTTTCATTTCCTCTCTGTGTTCTTATTTTTATTATTATTTTTTTTTCCTTGGTGGCCAAAATTATTGACTACATTAGGCTGGTCAGATTTTCTTTTTCAAGACTGGTAGAAGATTTATCACTTGAATATAATGCAATCAATTGGACTCCTGATTTTAACATTTTTATATCAAAATGTCAGGATCTTATAAGATTTAGAAAATATGATCTTATTTTCAAATTTAGGGAAAAAAAAATAAAAATAAAAACTAGCCTAAGAAGTTGTATCTTTTCAATATTTCTTCATTTTGGTTCTAAAAATGTTCAAGAACATCAAACTAACTCCAAATTGGTTTCTTTTGGCAATTTTTCATTAATTGCTCAGTTATTTTCATTTGCACTAATAAATTACAAGATGACTGAAAACATTTCTGAATTTAACAAATAAATCGCATATTATATTATGCTCTTATTTGATACCTATTATTTTCAAATTACGTTTCTCTCTCTTCTTTCAAACCATACATTTTTCAATATTACACGCAAACACAAAAATTTTTCTTATTCTTTAACCATACATTATTCATCAATGTACTATTTTAAAATGCATTTTATATCAACAATGAGGCACAAATAGACAGTATATGGAGTTTCAAGGTATTATATTTATACAGTCATGCTACATGCACATCAAGTTTGACATCATTTGAATTGGCAAATTTTAGTACATTGATTTTAACAAAACTTTTTTCAATCAATAGCCAAATTTTCCACGCATAGGAGAGACGTCAAACTTAATGTCAACAAGAAATGTACAAGAAGCATAATTCATAAACTCGTGAAAAATGTAAATCTTAAATTTTTAATTTCCTAACAAGGTATTTTAATCATTTTTATGACTTTCTATTCATCCATTAACTTTTCTGTCATAAAAGTCAATTCTTTGTGCCGATGGAAAATTTTATATGTTTATAAAGTCACAGCTGGCCACTCTTATTGGTGAGTTGAAGACCAACTTAATTTATCCTTCCAATTTCTTTTTTTATTAATTTGAATTTATGCATATTCCCTCTTTTCCACCCATCTACCAAAAATCACGAACCCTTATCTTAAGAATATTAAATGACAAAAGGCATGGCGACATGGTCCAAGATGATATTTATGGTAGAAAATGACAGTGCGACAATTCTAAGGGCAACTCCAACCCATTAATCATTCAACCATTTTCCACCAAATTTCACCATTTTCACCAAAAACACTATTCCAACCCAACACCAACTCTTGCACCATTTTACATCAAAAAAAATAATAAAAGTCTATTTTGCCCTTTTATGTATGACCAAGTTGATATAAATAGTATTTGTGTCATTTTACATCATACATAAATTTTAATTTATAATTAAGTAGTTAATTAATAATAATAAACTTTAATCGCAAAATTAATAATTATAGATGAATAGATTAAAATAAAAGCACTCAAAACAAAATGCATTAATTGAACATTTGTGAGATAAATCTATGAATTTCGATAATTAAATTATGACACTACCTTAATTTCTAGATTTGAAATGTACTGCATTGTTTTTAATAACATGATTTCATATTTTCTTAGTTGTGGTATTTTTATTAGTTGTACTGCATTTTTAAAATATATTAAATAATTTCATATTTTCGTAAACAAAATGTAATTATATATATAGTAATTTATGTAGTAGTAAATCAAATAAATAGATAATTTTTCAGCTATATAAATTGTGAAAAATAAAATAAATGGAGAAAATGACTAAGCACCGTTCATTTGGTGCAATTTTTAATGTAATGAGTTGAATATGATTTTTAGTTTGGTGTAGGGTTGGAGATTTTCTAATTGCTTTGGCAATATATTAACAATGTTTCAATCAGCAAAATGCTAATACCAAAGAAGAAATGGATCGACAACAAGAAGCCACAGTAACGAACAACCATCACTTCTTGATCATCTTTTTCCCGATCCAAGGCCATATCAATCCGTCCCTCCAATTAGCGAAAAACCTGGTGCGCAATGGTGCAAAAGTTACCTTAGCCACCCAGAACAGCGGCCTTAAAAAAATAAAATCCTTCCCAACTCTGCAGGGCTTGTCATATGTTTCCATTTCCGGTGATCAGGACGAAGATGACTCACAAAACCAGGAAGATTTTTCAAGCTCGGTACTCGAATTTAGGCGCATAGGCTCCCAAAATCTCGCCAGTCTTGTCCGAAAGTTTTCGGCCGATGGGGAACCGGTGACCCTTATAGTTTACAGCATCTTACTTCCTTGGGTGGCTATGGTAGCCCGTGATCTTCAGGTACCATCTGCTTTTCTTTTTAATCAGTGTGCCACTGTTTTTTCCATTTTCGACCGCTTCTTCAATAGTACAGATGGTCTACATCATGGCGAAAAGGATCCTTCCATCTCAATAAAACTACCGGCGTTGCCATTATTTTCTTCAAGAGACTTGCCCACCTTTCTCTTACCGGATAGTCCCTTTAGTGGCTTGATGGTCCCTGTGATGCTAGAACACATACAAATCCTGGAGCAAGATTCCACATCATTTGTTCTTATTAATACATTTGAAGGATTAGAACAAGAATCAATCAAAAATATCACCAATATGAAGGTTATTTCAGTTGGACCCTTAATACCATCAGCTTTCAGTGATAGAAATGATTTGACAGACAAATCTTTTGGTGGCNTGTAACATACCAACATAAATAAAGCTACCTATAAGATCGATATTTGAGATGGTCTAGAAAAAAGTCAATGCAATAAATTCTTTAACACATTCATCAATTTGTGGTTATCTTTAATTCGATGACTTCTAAGATCATTCAAGATCACATTGTTAACTTATCCCACATTCCAGACACCAAAAAAGGCCCTTGGATGAGATCAACGAGGAGTCCACGGCCTTTTCCATTTTTACAAATCAGTCCCTGAAGAATTACCATGGAGGCCCTCTGATTTTTCAAGTTCATTTAATCCCGTCTCCAAAAACCCTGGATTGATTTGCTCTAGAACCCCACGGCTCAAGTCATATTTTTGCTGGTCCACCATTGGCCCATTTTGTAGTTATTGTAAGGGCAAATTAGGCCCACTACGGCCCTGAAGTTAATAAAAAATGAAAATAAAAAATAAAAAATCGATTAATACTCTTAACCTTTTAATTTTTTTGATTATACGCTGTTAATTAATATTGTATTATAAGTTGCCACCCGATATGAAACCAAATGAGATACAACTTCTAACCCCACTCGTTGTTGTCGTAGTTATCATCGCCAGTTTGTTGATTGTCCAGGGGCAGATTCAGTAAAAATTTTAAGTCGAACTAATACATAACAAAATAATTTACACATAAAAAATTGCTTTTAAATTTGTCTATGCGATTGTCACCACAAGTACTATTAGACACCATCGAAGGTTAACAAAGTGTTTTATCCAACAATATTTAGGCCAAGAAGCTGAGAACAATAATGTCAATCTTGTTAACTAATCATAACTTACTGCGAAAACGGTCTCTATTACAAGATACTCAATGCCATAGAAAACAATCATGAAATTAAGAAAGACCAAAAAATGCATAAAGAAAATAATAAATAACTAAACAAACAACACTACTATAACCAGAAATATTGGTGTCAAACATAACAATTGTACCAAAATAAACATCCACAACAGTCAGGGACGGAGCCAGGGATTTTGTTTAGTGCGGGCGCAATTTTAGATATCGGCTACAGTGATTTTTTTGGGTCAAAATTAGTCTATGAATGAAAAGAACTTCACGTGATATTGGGAAATCCTAGTGCCCAAGAAAACATGAGCATGATCTTGATAAATCCTAGCGCATAAAAAAAATATGAGATTTTGAACAACTACAATGAGATTTTTTAATTAGAAAACTACTGTGACTTTGATTTAATATTCATATAAAGATGGAGATGAATTCTCAAAAAAGTTAGAAAGTTCGAGATTGGGATAAAATAGGGAAAGATATTTTGTAAATAATCTGAATATGAGCTCTGATTATGGAGACGTGAGAATTTGAATGGAGTGTACTCCCATTAGATCATGTAAAATTAAAAAGGAAATTTTTGGTCCAGTTAGTGCATTGGGTTTTTTTTTTTTAAATATAATAATATATTTCTTTACACATGCATATATGTTGAATTTAAATCCCAAATCAAATAGAATTTTATTTATGAAATAAACTTAATCAAATTTTATCTCAAATGTGTAAATAAACTCCACACACACACACATCACTCAATTATCAGTTATTTCCACTCACTATCTTTCATACACTTGTGCACACACTCTCTTTTACTTTCACATACACGTGCCCTTCTCCCTCTCTCTCTCTCTCTCAATCATCTCCACTCACTATCTTTCACACACTTGTGCACTCTCTTACTTTCACATACACGTGCCCCC